AGGGATAATTTTAAAAGTATTTTAATCGGAAACACAGCTGGTAATATTTGGTTTTAATTCGGCTTTTATCGGGGTTTATTTTTTTGTATTTTTGTATTTTTGTATTTTGTATTTTTTGTATTTTGTGTATATTATTTGTTTTTAATATGCTGTGAACCGCCCTGAGTCCTATGGGAGAAGGGCGGTATACAAATTAAATTATCTATCTATCTATCTATCTATAAAGCTGCTTATACTGCTAGAGGGGATTGCAGACTTAATCTCCAAAGCACTAGAGGGCAGGACAAAAAGTAATATGTAGAAGCTTGTTAAAGAGAGCTTATTTTTATTTATTTTTTTTGCCTTCAAAAGAGGCACCAGGTCTTATTTTTGGGGGGTGTCTTTTCCATAGTCTCATCTCACGGTGGCACTGACAGCCCTACCCAGCTGGCCCACTTCTGCAGCTGAGAATGCAGCTCTAGCCTGCATTTCACCATCAGAGGCCTTCCGGAAAGGCCTCTGCAACTGAGAACCGAGCTATGAATTGAATCGGTAGCTCGGTTCTCAGCTGCAGAGGCCTTTCCGGAAGGCCTGTGACGGCAAAATGCAGGCTGGAGCTCCATTTTCCGCTGCAGAGGCATTTCCTTCAGCTGACAGTGGGCTGGCATGGCAAGGCAGGTGTCGATTCATGGGAGACCTGACTGCAATGGTAAGTGAGTGCGGGGCATGTGAGGCAGCTTTACCCACCCACCACCCACCCTAGCTTGATTTTTTGACATGCACCTCGCCCCAAAACTAGGACTTATTTTTGGGATAGGGCTTATATTAGGCCCACCCCCAAAAATCAAGCTAGGGCTTATTTTCGGGATAGATCTTACTTTCGGGAAAACACGGTAGAAGTAAGGAAAAAATTTCTAACAGTGAGAATAATTAATGAATAGTTAACCCTGAGTTCTGGATGCTCTGTCACTGGAGTTTTCAAAACAGACTAGACAACCATTTGACCGTGATAGTATAATCAGGGAGTTGGACTAGAAGGCCTCTGAAGTCCCTTCCAGACCTCTGATTCAATGTTCTACGTTCTATTATTATATTGATCAAATAACACAAAAATCCTAAGATTATTAAAATAAAAGAGAACTTGAAACAGAATAAGGCCAGAAATAGAATAATATTAAT